GAAGGCTTTGTTATGTAGCCAGGGTTGATTACACCACTGGCTCTTGGTGACCAACTTGACCAACTTGACCTGCCCCCTCCATGGAGATTGGGGGATGGCCCTGAAAGGTCTGGCCCTCTAATTCAGCCTTGGTCATTCTGAGGTGAGCCGTCCTCATCCTGAAGCTACCTAGGGCCAGCAGCACCACCACAGCTGATCAACATACAAAAGACACTCATCCCAGCCCTGAATCCCAGGGTTTTAGGAGCTGTGGGCCAGGAACCAGCAGCAGAGACCAAATATATTTCTTTTGTTAAAGTACTGCACTACAGCATTGGGTAGGGATGGGGCAGAGCAGCACTTCTCCAACTTCAGTGTGCACAGGACTCACTTGCGGCCCCGCGAGCCGGCAGGGTCCGAGCGGGTAGTGGGCGCCTCAGCCCCAGCAACTCCCTCGGGGACTGCAAGTTAGAGGCTTTGTGTCAGAGGCAAGGGCTGAGGGTATACGTAGCTCAGTGGTTTCTTTGCCTAACATACACTGATTTCCAGAACTGGAAAAAAAGAAAAAGAAAGAAACAGGTTCTGGCTTGGTTGTTGCAAGGAAACCCCCTACTCTTGAGTGATGAGACACAAAAGTTTCTTCATGGTGATCCCAGGATTCTGGGATCACATAAAAACTCATGGACAAAATCTGAAAATACTGAGGGCTTCCTAGGAGAGTTTTATTTTTGATAATGCTTGATCTCATTAATAACAGGGGCTCCTGGAGGCTAATTCCTTTTATTCCTGTATCCAGGACTCTTCTCCTTTGTCTAATGTAGAGGCTGTTAAAGCTAAACGCTCACTTTCTGAATCTTCCTTGCTGCTCTGGAATAAATACATTACATACAGAGAATGGTAATTAGTCCTTAGGTTCTGCCTTAAATATTAACAAGATGGCCTCAGCTATAGAACAAATTCCAACGGTTCAGAGGTATTAGGCCAATGACTCTGATTTATCTGTTATGCTTCTTACCTCATGGTCACAGAATAGTTGTTGCAGCTCAGTAAGACTAGCATCTCTTACTATCACCAAAAATCTAGGCGTTTTCAATTTTTCTTGATCAAAAATTTTTCTGCACTGGTTTTTATCTTAGAATCATATTACATGTAGCTGTTGCAAACAGTATCTTATATGTTAAGTTCCAGCCTTTTTATAAGATAAAGTGAATTTCTATCTGTTTAAGACAGACTTACTGGATTTTTATGTTCCTTATAGGCAAAATACAACGCAGTATATAATTGTTTTTCAGACAGGGTCTTGCTACACTGGCCAAGGTGTTCTCACTCAAACTTGTGATTCTTCTGCTCCAGATTCCCCAGTAACTGGAACTATAGGCACATCCTACCTCCCCTGGCCAGTAAGCAATTTTGAACTCACTATGTAGTAGAGGTGATCCTTCTGTCTCAGCCTCCCAAGTGCTGGGATTACAGGTACATGCCACCATATCCAGCTAACACTTAGATTATTGTTTCATCGTCTATCATGAAGCTATACACTTCCTATCCACATGTGGTGGTGCATGCCTATAATCTCATGCACTCTAGGAAGCTGAGGCAGGAAAAATGAAAGTTTGAGGACCCCAGCCTTGGCAATCTAGTTAGATCCTGTCTCAAAATAAATACATAAAGAACCCAAAAAATTAAATTTTAAAAGAAGGGAAGAAGTTAAGTTAAGAATATAGCTCAGTGTGGAGGTCCTGGGTTCAATCCCTAGTACCATAACAGGAAAAAGGAGGAGAAGGAAAAGGAGAGGGGGAGGAGAAGCAGGGGAAAGAGGTATATAATTTCACTTATTACACTACTCCCCCATTGCTGGACACTGGGAAGACTCTGTTTTTACTATCAAGGCAATTGTTATAGCACATGTCCTGGTGCTCATAGTTCCTTGTGTCTAGAACCAGCCCTCCCAGAGGAAGGAAGTCAGACCATAACACTGCTTCAGTATTCATGGAGAATGAACACGGCTTCAGCATTCAGAGGTTGCTTACTGCAACCTCAGTGTGCACCCCGGGAACTACTTTATATGCATTATTTCTTCAAATTCTTCAGCACTCTCAGAGGTCTGTTCTGTCCCGATTTTCAGAAGTAGCCTCCGAAGATCAGAGAGGACAGCTGGTTCACCGAGCCAAGAAGTAGAGGTGCCAAGGTCGTTACCCTCCCTCCTCAGGCCTTCATTTTTAGGCCCTTTCTAAGCTTCAAAGATAAAAGTGCTATCTTGTTCTAACTTGTTTTCATGACGCCGAGCATTTCTCTGGCTTTGCTTAACATTGTTCCTAGTTTGGTGTTGTGTTTTGTGCTGGGTGTTGAACCCCGGGTTGAGGCCCGGGTTGAGGCCTGCTAAGAGCTCTATCCCTGAACCACATCCTACCCCTGTTTTTTTTTTTTTCTTGGTTTTATTTGGTTTTTTTCTCCGGTACCGGGAACCGAACTCACGACCTTGCGCTTGCCAGGCAGGTGCTTTTGCCGCTGAGCTAAATCCCCAGCCCCTCCTACCCCTGTTTTAACCAGCCCTGTATGCAGCCTTTCTTGTGGTTGGCTGAACAGTCTGGGGAGTGACTAGAAAGCAATCTCTAGCTCATCACTGTCACTAACCACGAGGTCTCTTCTTCTCCACTATCAGGGGATCTCACTGACTCCACGCCTCTGACCCTCACAAGACTCAAGATCAAGCAATTCCTGGCCAAGAAGCAAAAGAAACTCATCCCGTTCTTCCCCAATGGATTTAAACTGGTAACAAAGGTAGGCACAACTTAACAAGAACACCAAGCCAGGTCTAGGAGGAAATGACACCTGAGATGTCACATTTATGCTGTATCAGTGTCGCTATCATTTTGCCGTACCAAGCTGTAAAGGTCGCCACTGTCTGCTGGTTGGACATGTTTTATTGAGAACCTAATTTTTCCTCCCTTTTTGTTTTGTTTTGTTTTGTTTATTTTAAAGAGTAAAAGAAGGATAATATAGCAATAGGGGGGGCTTACTGAATTACAGACAAAGTGGTAGGAAATTATCAATGGTTGTTGTTTTACATATTGTTATCTACAAGATAGTTTCTCAGGAAAACAAATAGACAAATAATAGTGAGCTACAGACAAAAGTGGTAGGAGATTATCAATGGTTGTTGTACTATACTTTGGTATCTTCAAAGTGGTTTCTAAAGAAAATAAATAGAGACATATATGAGTGACCAATTGAATAATCATTGACTATTCTCAACGGTTGTTGTAGGAAACACAAAGTAATAAACATACATCCATTTACAACATAGCATAGGAACAATACAAACATTACAGAGTTATGGACAGATTAGTAGGAAAATATCAACGGCTGCTGTAATACATCTTCAAAGTGGTTTCTCAGGAAGACAGAGATATGCAAGAAAGATCTAACAAGTAGTTACAGCCTAAGGGTTGTGAAAAATAGTGGATTA